TCCCAGGGGAATTCCTTCAGGTAGTCAAGATTAAGTCTCACATGACCAAGGCCCAAAGAGCCAGTCTTTCGGGTGAGAGTCTTGTGCATTTTGAAATGAATAGGTGTGCTGGTGCTCGTGCAAGAGAGGGAGCATATCCCTACGCCGCCCCGAACTGGAAGGTGGAACATGTCAAGCAGTGTCTTAAATTTCAGAAGCGGCTGCTACAGTATGCGGCGTCTTTCCGAATAGATCTTAGCGAAGCCAAAACCACCACCACGAGCCTGCCGTCCCCTGCTGGTCGGGCTCGGAAGAGCGAACGTATTGCCCGCCCTTTGGCAGTCGCGCCTGAGCGGGCCCATCGTTTTAGGCTCCTTGAAGGTGTTAAGTGGCAGTGTCTGGATTGCTCTCGCCTCGTCCGCGTGGCCTCTCGTCTCAGCATGGCCAAGCGGGAGTTGTGCCCAGGATGGGGGGGAGCCATTTCAAAAGGTAGGGCCCGTTTGAAAGTCAAGGCCCTGGTCCACGGTGATTGTTTGACGGACCAGGTCCGTGCAGCTGCGGCTGAGAGGGCTGCGGCAGCGAGGGGGTCTGGGTCCCAGGTTTCACCTCCCCCCCACCTCGGGAACACGAAGTGGTTGAGAAGGTGGGATATGCTGTGTGCCGAATTTGTAGGGCTTTCGCCCGTTCCCGAGCCCAGAAGTTGTTGCGGGAATGCGAGGGCCCTTTGAAGAAGGGTATTGTCGCCCATCAGAGGCGGAAGCTCTATCGTGATAGAATCCTGGACGGTAAGAATCCGTACACGGGAAAGCCCGTGCGAGAGCAGGATTGACCAGTTTTGCCAAGGTGATGTGTGGTCCAGAGGCCCGTCCCCAAGAGCACCCCAGTCAAAAAAGACGAGAAGGGGCAGATGAGGACGAAGAGGAGGACGAACGAGGGGGGAGGAGAAGGAGGAGGGTTTCGAATGAGGAAGGCGGCAGGGGGGGAGCGGAGGAGGAGAGGGGACGGGGAGGGGATGAGACGCACCTCAGAATACATGGTATCGGAGTGCAAGAAAACGATGATATTCGCTGGCCCAGCGGGCCAAGCACACGCTAGTGTTTTCAATACTTTTCATGTTCTCGCCTTTTCGCTTCGTATGGGCTTCTGAGGCCTGCAGATGGCTCCAGGATCGCTTAGGCTAGCTGTGAATAGAAACCAGACAAGCTCCGAGGTGAATCTGAAGACCTCCAGGAACACCCCATGGGAGCTCTGGGAGGACCGACGGCGTCGCCCGAGCGCCCAAAGGGCAAGCATCACGGTATGGCAGTGCAGTCCCCAAGATGGCACTTACACTTTCCCGAGACAGGCCTGGGAGGCCCAAGACGTCTCCGAGGTGACCCAATGTGGTCTCAGACAGCATGCAAGAAACTTCCCATAAACCCATATCCTTTGAACAACTACCACAACTTGCGATCTCATTAACGTCTTATCACCTTTTCCGTTCCTATGGGCGTCTCAAGCCTCCAGATAGCTTCAAGACCGTCACCAAACGCCCACATGTGACATGTCCCCCAGACAGCCCCAAGACAGTACTGAGGCGACCTGCGATTGTCCAACACACGTCCCAAAACACCTCCAGGATGACCACATCCGTCAAACACATGTTTGCAATCATTGGTTTCTGTTTTCTTGCCCCTTCGCTTCCTGTGCATGGGCTCCTGTAGCCCCCAAGATGGCTCCAAGATCGCCCAAGATGGCTTCAAATGGAGCCCGGGAAAGGCTCCAAATGACTCCGAAGACCCCAACACGCACCCCAGGACAGGCTCCCAGAGGTCGCCAGATCGGCCCGATACCGCGCATCAAGGGGTGGTCGGCCCCAACATGGCCCTCGAACCACCCCGGCATGCCCCAAACAACAACCCCCAAGCAGGTTCCAAGAAAACCCCGAACTGGTCCATCATGGTCCAAGACAGCCCGCAAGACACCTCCACATGGGCTTCAGGGGCCACGCAAAGGCCCCATGATCACAGATTTGACCACATTCCAACAGTGATGCACCATGGCCCAGAGGAGTGAATATATCGGAGAATGATGTATTTCAAATTGATCCCCAAACCTCCCTCGTCCACCATCTTGACCACTTTTCTAAACCGCGTCTAGCCGTGGCGACGGGGGGGAAAAGAGGTGCAAGGGGGAAGGGAGGAATCATGGCGATTTTCCAAACCGCGTCCAGCTGTGGCGACGACAGGGGGGGGGATGCGGTGAAGAGGGAGGGGAGAAGCACAAGAAGATTTCCCAAGTCGCGTCCAGCCGTGGTGTCAGGGGAGGGAAGACGTGGAAAGGGGAGGGAAAGAACAGAAGAGAGATGTTCAGAGCCGCGTGCAGACGTGGCGACGAGGGGGGGAGAGGAGGGGGAGGTGGGAGGGAAACGACAGAAAAGAGCTCCCGAGCCGCGTCCAGCCGTGGCGGCGGGGAGGGCACGCGCTAGAGCGTTTTTTGCTGACGCCCAAGTTCCTGATGAGGCAGGACAGTCGGCGGCTGCGGCAGCCACGCCTGGGGCGACCCAGAAGAGGCAGAGAAGGCAGCAACGGCCTTGCCTAAAACAAAATCCGCACCACACTGCAGAGGTTGAGGCCGGGACAAACGGCGTAACAACCAACCACCGCAAATCCGACCCCGCTTTCCCGACAGCGGGGATGAGAGGCTGCGCGTCCTCCTCGTCCCGCAAGGTGTCCGCGACTCTCGTGGGCTGTCGGGCTGGCTCCTCCCCCTCCGCGCGAGGAGTGACGGAAGAACTGACGAGGTCGGGCCCAGTCGCTTGAGCGCCGCCTGGCGCGCCGCAGCCTCAGGACTTTGGCCAGCCGCGCGCCCTCCAACCGCGCCCTGCAGGAGGCGCTGGGAGGGGGGGGGGGGTCGGGGGGGGGGCCGAGGGTGCCCACTGGCACACGGTGCCCCCCAGCTTCCCGCTCCACTCTGGAGCCCCATGGGCCCCCCATAGGGGGTGGAAGCTGTGAGTCCACGTGCTGTCGTAGCCCAAGTTTCGTAGCCAGGCGCCTGCCTCCACGAGAGTGCTTTCTTGCGCGCTGGCCACGTCGTCGGGGCCCTCCATATGGTTCGTGCAGTGGATACGGTCATCGTGCTTGCGCCCGCAGTTGTAGCCAGTTGCTCGAGAGGGCAGATATAATGGTGTGAAGATATGCTTGATGGTTCAGCTAACTTAGTCATGTGCTGTTATCATGCAGGGCGCATGACAGGTAGACTGGCTGGCTGGCGAGTTAGTGGGCCAGACGGTAAGTAGCGCGCAGAACGAGTGCCCAGTGTTATCGCGGTAGTCCTGTGGTGCCGCAGGCAGTGCAAGCACCATCCCGGTCAGATTCGTTCCAAGGCGCCGCACATGGTGCAAGCCTGCGCGCAGGAGAGGGAGGTGGTGGGAGCCAGCAGGAGGGAACGTACTTGATGCTCGGGGGCGGGCAAGCATGCAGGCGCAAATGTACGAGGCGGCGTTGCAGAGTGTGTACAGCCTGGGATAACGTACTCGAAAGCGACCTGGGAGCGCACCGCTGGTACCTCCTGCCACGACGATCCAATATGTCTTTGCCAACCTAGTTGCCCGGGTCCCCATCGTGTCCTCGTTGCCCTAGTGGCCCGTCTTGCGCTGCTTATCCCCACTGCACTCCTCCGTGTCGTGGTCCCTCTTGCGTTTCTTGGCCTTGCCCTCGTACTTCATGAAGCCTCCGAAGCGGACGTCCTTGCCTTCGACATTGTGGTTTCTGTCCTTCTTGTCATCGTCATCGTTGTCGATGTCGTCCCGCTCGGAGACGATGTCCATGAACTTGATGAGGTTGAAAGTCTTGAGACAATTGATCTTCCAAGCCCCAATATGGTACGTCCCCGCCTGTCCCGTAGCGCATGCTGATGCAGTCGTGTGTCTCGTCGTTTGGCAGCGGATTGTAGTGGAGCTTCGTCGCGGTCTGCAGGCAATCGCACACTACGATCTGGTCCAGGTAGCGCGCAAGGCAGTCGTGCACAGTGTCGAAGAGCTTGTCTTGGAGGACGATCTTCAGCTTAGCGAGTGTCACGGGCGCGATAGTGGCGACAAGGGCCTGGACGGGCTCGTCCTGCGGCTCGACACAGGCTTGATGTTGACCTTGTCCGGATACTTTGTGGCTGCGGCCAAGCAGCTGAACCTCCTGCCGCTCGTCGTGAATGGATCCTTGACGGCGGTCGATGTAGTATCCATCGGGCTTTCAATCGCCTCTGGCTCTGTAGAGCGGGAGGAACCTGTTCTGGTGGCGCTTCACGTGATGCCGTACCGCTTGATCGATATCTCCCGTCTTGATTGCAATGTACCGATTCCGTGCTGGTGTGGTGGTCGTATTTGGCGAATGCCACTTTGGAAGTAACTGTATCCACTTGTTGCTTCCCTGAGAGGTGGCATCGCGTATCCACATCTCCATGCGCGTTGTACCCTCCATGTTGCCATGTTTGACTTTCTCGGAATCGTATTCTATTGTGGCCGTCATGTCCGCCGTAAGGTTCTTGAGCAGGTCACTGTTCGTCTGTCTTGTAGCCGGAAGCTGGTAGGCCAGAACGCTGCGGTTGTGCATGCACCCTGAGCGGTCAAGATATGTGACAGCGCAACTAGTAAACAAAGAAATTCAAGGCGGTCGTGTCTCACGGCGCTTCCGTTGTAACTGGAGAATCCTATTCTGGGTGGGCCTCCTCCTCTTCCTCCTCCTCCTTCTCTTCCTCCCGCTCTCTTCCCGAACCACCTCTTCCTCTTCCTCTTCCTCGTCCTCCTCCTCCTCCTCCTGCAACTCCTGCAACTCCTGCAACTCCTGCAACTCCTCCTCCTCCTCCACCTCCTCCTCCTCCTCCTCCTCCTCCTCCTCTCCTCCTCCTCCTCCTCCCCTCCCCTCCCCTCCCCTCCCCTCCCCTCCCCTCCCCCTCCCTCCCTCCCCCCGCCCTCCCTCCCTCCCTCCCTCCCCCGCCCCTCCCTCCCCCCCCTTCCTTCCCTCCCTCCCTCCCAGGCGGGGCGGCTCCTGGAGCAGCAGTGCGCCCCTCAGGCGGTGTTTCCCGTTGGTGGCGTGGGCCACCAGCTCCTTCTCCAGCCTGCGGGCCCCGCCCCTAGCGAGGGGGGGCGCGGATGGGGCCAGAATCGGTGGCGAGCCTGGGGGGCAGCCCAGCCCCTCCCCACGCAGGGGAGAACGCCGCGGCAGAATCCCTTGCCGCGCAGGGGCAACGGTGGCCTCAACCCCTCGCCACGCAGGGGCACGATGCGGCCCGACCTTCGCCGCGCAGGGAGGTGGCGTGGCCTGACCTCGGCGGCGAGCGGGGGGGGGGAAACGAGAAGGAGAAGCGGCGGGACTTCCCAGAAGCCCTCGCACCTTCTGACGGGTGTTTTTTTTGCGTCTTCGGGGAAGGCTTAGAACACCTCTCATAAGGCCGGGGGACATCCGAGCCTTCTGAGAGGGCCCCCCGCCCCTTCTCTATCTCCCCCCTCGCTCGCCGCCGATGGACGAAGAAACAACGGCATACAGTCGAGGCGTTGACCAAAGGAACCCTAAATAAGGAACGAGGTCCCTATTTTCCATAAGTTGAACTTCGATTTCGTATCGAAACCCTGAAGAACATCCAAGGCAAGCTGCGAAACACTTGAGGAACACGGAACACCTCCCCAACGAGAAGGGTTCCTTCTTCAGGGCCCCGACTGTAGACGTAAACTTCTGGGGCTCCGCGCGGACTTCTTGGATCCGCGCTGCCCCCCCACCCCCCCCGGAGCGCGAACCGCGCCAGGGGCGGCGCCTGAGGCGCCGGCGGGGGGGCCCAGCGCGGATCCGAGAAATCCGCGCGGAGCGCCAACAGTGTATGTTTTATGCCGCTGTTCCTTCTCGGAGGGGCGGGAAGGCACGTGCATCGGAGTGTCGGATCCCAGGACGGCGCCGGGGCAGACATATTTACGGCTGGCTGACGCCTTGGTGCTGATGCGCTCCTGGCGCTGCCTCGTGGCGTGCTCCTGGCGCTGCCTCGCGACTTTGGAGGGATCAAGCGCGGCTGCCAGGGAACTGATCTGCTGGGACCCATGGGCCCCGCAACGGATACAACACCAGAGGAGGGCGGCGGGGGGCAGGGGACCCAGACCTCCAACGTACCGAGTGGGTCGAAACCTCGGGGGGTCCATGTTGCGACCCGAAGCGACGCGACATGGGGCTCTGGGACTGGGGAGCGGGGAAGGGGGGAACTGGCGGGGGAGGAGGGATGGAGGAGGGGAGGTGGGAGGGGGAGGGGAGGAGGAAGTGGAATGGGGCGGGGGAGGAGAGAGGAGGGTGCGGGCGTGTGGGAAGGCGGAGGGGAGGTGGGAGGGATGAGGGATGGAAGGTGGGGGAGGCCAGGGATGGGGAAGGGGGAGGGGAGGAGGGAGTTGAGGTGGGAGGGAGGGGGGGAGGAGGTGGGATGGGAAGGGGAGGTGGGGGGGGAGGGGAGGAGGGGAGGGGAGGTGGGGGAGGGGAGGTGGGGGAGGGGAGGGACGGAGGAAGGGGAGGTGAGAGGGGGAGGGGAGGAGGGAGGGGGAAGGGAGGAGGGATGGTTGAGGGGAGGTGGGAGGGGCAGGGGAGGGTAATGGGGCGGGGAGGAGGGGAGGGGGTTGGAGGACGGAGGGGAGGTGGGAGAGAGACGAGGGAAGGCGAGAAGCATCAGGTGGGGGCCAGGAAGGGAGGAAGAGAGGCAAAGGCCGAGGCACGAGGACGACAATCAAGCTGGCGACCGTTTTCTTATTCGGCGTTTCGACATTGGGGGAAATGAGGGGGAGGGGGGGTCTGGCTCTGGACCTCTGCTTGGCGCGACTGTTTGCAGCAGTGCGTCCTACAGGGGAGGCCCCTTAGGCCTGAAACAGGCGCCAAAAACAAGCAGATCTACTCCACGAGGGGGAGGCAGGGGGGGTACGAGGGCCCAGGCCGATCGGCAAAACAATGAATAAGAAAACGACGACCTGGAGGGGCGTGTTCTGTGGCTGGGGCCAGCCTGCTTCGCTTCGCCTCGCTGGTGGCCGTGGCGATCTCCTTCGGGGGATCTGGTGCCTACCTCCTCGTCCGTCCTCCGCCTCCTCGTCCTTGTTCCTCCCCATCCTGCTCCCTGCCCTCCTCCTCCTCCTCCTCCTCCTCCTCTGCCTCCGCCTCCTCCCCCTCCTTAGACTTGCCATCGCTCGGAAGCCCACTTTCGCGTGTTTCGGCTCCTCGATGGTCCTCCCCGACAAAATTCAACACGTCCGAGCGATGCCAAAAAATTGCTCCTCACTCCTCCCTGCTCGTGTTGCTTCTCCTGCTCCCCCTCCGCTCTTTCCCCTTGCTGCTCCCTCTGCATCACCCTCCTCCTCCTCGCTCCCCTTCCCCTCTCCTCATCTGTCGAGCTTCCAGCTGCGGACCTCAGCTCTCCAAATAACTCCTCCTCGTCCTCGCCTTCCTCCTCCTCCCCTCCCGCTCCCTTCTCCTCACCTCCTCCCCTCCTCTACTCCTCCCCTCCTCTACTCCTCCTCCTCCTCCTCCTCCTCCTCCTCCTCCTCCTCGTCCTCCTCCTCCTCCTCCTCCTTCTCCTCCTGCCGCAGCGCGCCTACGCCCCATCCCACGCCCGCGAGGGCGACCCGCGCGCACCGCGCGGCGCCCCGCGGGCGGTCGGCGCGGGAGCCCGACCCGACCATCCGGGGGAGGGGCCAGGCGGCTTGCGTTGGAGAGGAGAAGGGTGAGGTTTAAGTCGGGCCTGTCTGAAGGGGCCCCAGGACACACACACACACACAAATACACACAAATGAATGGATTCCCCATATTTTCCCATATTTTCTGGGTTTCTGTCTTTCCCCCCACTTCCCATGTTTTCCCACATTTTCTGGGGAATCGAAGATTAATTGTGTCTGTGTGTTTCTTCTCCTCCTGACTGTCCCCCTACATGCCGATTTTGGACGAAAAATAAGCACTACTTAAAACATAGCACACAATGTTCAAAAATGGCTATAAAAAAACATAGTCCCAATCTTATTTTCTGTTATCTTTGAATATTCCCGCTGTAGAGGGACAGGCACGACTTCAGGTTAGGTCGGGCGTGTGCCACTACAGGCAGACGTTGGGCGAAAGACAAGAAATAGTCAGACAGTACTCCAGAACTGCCCAACAAATAATCAAAGCATCGTCCCCAGACTATTTTTGGGCTACTTTTGAAGATTACCCCTGCAGAGGGGCAGGCCCGACTTACGAGGAGGGGGAGGGCGGGAGGCCACCAGAACATATTACAGCAGGAAGCCCCAAAAACGGGGAGAGCAGGCGAAGGGCAGAGGAACGGGTACCTGTTCCTCCTCTGCTCTCCGGCTGGGTCCGCCCGACGACCAAGACTCCTGGCGTGCGTACCGGCACAGAGGGACGGGGGAGGCCAGGGCGGCAGCGCGGCCGCCGGGGAGGCGCTGCTCCCCTCGTGCGGACGCCCGGAATCGGTACGGAACAGGCATACAGTCGAGGCCAGTCCACGAGAACCCTTCCACAAGAAACCCAACCCTGAGACCCCCAGGCCGTCCCTTGACTCTTGGTGTGGGAACGTCACGCTCTCCATAGCAAAACCATCGAACCCCAAGAAACCCAGGGCACCCTGGACGCAAGCAGGGTGGTTCTTGCCATGTGCCTCCACTGTACATCCCGAGGCACTTCAAGGAGGAACGAGAGGGCGAAAGGATGCAGCCGGCCCGTATCATAAGGATGCGCGACAAGGAGGCAAGGGCCGTGGACGCCCACTTCGAAGCTTTTCGTGCGGAGCGCGGCCAATGAAAGTGGCCAAGGATGGACCGAGGAGACAAGAACACAAGGGTACCCTTGGGAAGGATGCTCATCCTTATTATGCGTGTTGACTGTAGCATCTTTTGAAATGGACCAGGCAGGCAAAGCCGTGCCGAACGGATTGCGCCTTGCGGGCGCAGGTGAAACGGATGGGCACAAGAGGTAAAGAAAAAGCCAGTGGGCCGAACGGATAGCACCCCCCTCCTCCTCTCCTCTCCCAGGTGGATTGTTCGGGAGCGGCGCTCTCTCAGAGGCTTTGCCATAATTAGGCTCACACTGGTGCCGTCACCGTGTGTCGCAGCATGAGAACCCGATGCTGCCACCGTTTCCCGTGCGGGAAAATCGGTAAGTTATTCCACCGTCAATTGCGATGTCCAGCTCGGACCCTCTAGACGCGGGACAACATCCCCCCGAGGTCGAGCAAGCAGTTCCGTTCCTCAGCAGGGACCTCCCCCCCCTGCATGGAAGGTCTGCCAACGGCCTCCTCGACCCCTGCCAAATACTGGCCAAGAAATCCGGGCATCCGACCAAGGAATTTCGGGTAAATGGGACCAAGTCCTTGCTTGAAGGGGGGCACGCCTTTGGGCGGGGTTCGGCTTCGAATTTCCCTGGGTCTGGGGGGCGGCCGTCTCAAATGCTAGCGTTCATGTTTTTCCCCAATCGGTGCTTGTACTGAAGGGGTCCTAGCAGAAATTGAAAGATTTGGCCACCGATTTTGGTAGCCAGCTGGGTTCCCAAATTCCCGGTTTCGGTTTGCCCAGGTTTCTAGTCATTGGTTCTGGGCCGATTTCGGTGGGTTCCGGGTTCCCCCTGGTTCTGGGGTTCCCGGTCGATCTCCTTGTCGATCTCCGTATCGATCCTATTTCAAAGCGTCCACTGATTGGGGTTTCTCGTTGGTGTCATAGAAAGCTGGCTTGGACCCGCGTTTCCTCACATCATCCCCGCCCAACTGGCAAGGGACGGGGGGGGGGGGCAATCTCTATGGGGACTCCCACATTAAAGGCGACTTTGGGGAGAACAAAGGGTACCGATACCGCTACTCCCTGGACCTCTCCCGGGGTGCGTTCTGCGTAGAATTTCGAAGCGAATCCAGCGGTGGTGACGAGGGCCGCCCAAGAGGCCCAAAATGAGGAAAAAGGGCATAAGGGGTAGAGGTATGAATGCCTGATCCTCCTCCGGAACTTCGCGGTGCATACTGATTGCGCTGGCACCATGGCCTTCTGTAGTTTCCGTGCTCTGGCCCAAAGGAGGCCGCCCCACACCTGGGCACACCTGTGTGGGCGCGGGACGGAGGCGTGGGGACGGGATGGCGCCGCAGAAGGTGCCTGCGCATGCTAGGACGTATGACGTTAAGGGGAGATAATCGACTCTTTTTTTGGGGGGGGGAACGGCTGTTACTCGGGGGGGGAGGGGTTGGGCCGGCGGGTAACAGTAACGGCGGCCGCGGCGTGCGCCCGCCAGGGGGCGCCCGCGCCATCGGCACATCAATTGCCTGCGCGCGCTGTAATTTGTGCGCGCGACAATGCCACATGCACTCGCGCAAGACAGCGCCGATTGAGTGCACCACAGTGTTCGGTACACCACAACAGCTGCGTGCACAATGTCACCGCGTTGCCCATGTACGCCGCCATCTGTGTATACTGCAGCAACCTTGTGCGCAACAGCGCTTGTGTACACCACGTTGCCTGCGTGCACCAAAGCGCTTGTGTACACCGCAGCGCCTGCGTGCACCGCAGCAACCATGTGCACCACAACGCCTGCGCACACCACAAAGTTTCCGTGTTCCACAGCGCGCGTCTACAACAAAACGTGCCAAAAAGGCACGTCGGTTGCTTTCGAAATTTTGTTTGCGGAATCCGCGACAGACCGCGGAAACCCTCACCACGTCGCCCCTGTACACCGCAGTGTTCTTGTATAGTGCAACAGGGGTGTGCGCCACAAGGCCTGTGTGAACCACATTGTCTCCTCCTGTTTTTCCTCTTGCGTCTGGTACTCCCCCCCCTCCCCCAAACACGCAAGGTGGTACGCAAGGTGTTGGGTCGGCGCTCTGCAAAGTTTGGGCGAGAGCATCCGCAGCTTGATTCGAAAGAAACGGCCATGAGGAATGGAAGATATGACACGAAAAGGAAAAACTCGGGAGCGAGGTGGGGGAGGAGGGAATCGGGAGGGAGTGGGGTTGGAAGGAAGTGGGATGTTTTTTGGTTTCAGAATGGCACATGGGCCTGTAAAGCCGAACGACAACATCGCACCTCGGCGCGCCAGCGTGCAACGAACATGTCACGAAAGTCGGCCCGCGAATGCGAGCGGAAGCCTATGAGGAGGACGAGGAAGAGCGAGGGAGGGGGCGAGGCGAAGGGGCAAGGGCGCTGCGCGGATAACCCCGTATGGCCAACACGGTCATTGACATAACCCCAATAACGCATAGCGCAATCCAGAGGGGAAGAGGAAGTAGAGAAGGAGGAGGGGGGCAGAGACGACGAAAAAGGGAAAGGATATTAGTAGGTGGTGGAACAGGCGGGAGGAGGTAGGAATATGCTATGCCATACAACAAATACACTCATGGCATCGTTCGACGTCGCCTCGCCTTCGTCAGCGCGTATTGTAACAGACGTGGGAGGATAACCGCTGCTCCACCCAAGCATGGCTGCGAACCCCCCTGGCAGCATTGCTTCCAAAACTCTGCCTAACACAGGGGTGTATACACAAATGAGGACAACACGTAGGGGTGTACACATACATAACACGTGTCTGCGCTCTGCGATAGCCTGCAGGAGCCGGCGCCGCAACAGGCAGGTGAGCACCGAAACGTGTCTTTCAACACCACGCCATGCCTGCGAAGTCGACGCGAAAACAAGTGGGGAACCTGCGAACGCCACAACACGCTTGTGCACACCACGCGTGCCTTTAAGCACCACGCCATGCCTGCGAGCGCAGCGCCATTCATACGGAGAGGAGGGGGGTCCGCCGTCCACCCCCAAAGCATGTACGATCGTTGGTGTTACCCGGGGGGGGGGGGCCGGTAGCAAACGCCACCCGCCAGAGGAACAAGAAACGTTTTCCAAGCTCTCGGCCTTCGGGAGAGAATGCGCAGACAGACAAACAGATTACGCACGGCTACAGATCTGGCCCTGCGTAAGACACGGGAGGAAAGTAACGTGCAACTCGCTGGCAACAAACCGAACACAACGATTCCAAAACCAACACACACGCACGTTCGCAAACGCACTCGTTCACATGCCGTCCGTCCACCTGCACGCCGGACGTTGGCGGGATGCAAATGGGGGGATAAGTCCAGGGGGGGAGAGAAGCGCAACCGAGGTACAAATTGTACCGACGCCCCACGGAGAAGGTACAATTTGTACCGACGCCACGCAGACAAAGTACAAACTGTACGTTTGACAACATCCGCGACATGTGCGAGGATATTAACGGGGGGAGAAGGTACAATTTGTACTTGCAGCCCGCAGAGAGGGTACAAATTCGACCCCAGCTAAACGGCACAAGATACTCATCCCCCCTATGTCCTGATCCCCCCATCGCCATCCGGCCGAGTCCTCGTCGCCTGCGAGCCCCGTGGCAAAGTGTGGTGGGCAGAAACGACCTGCGAAAAAAGGAAGAGGAGGAGGGGGAGGAGGACAAGCTAGGTGCGCTCGCGTCATATCTGACATCCTACCCCGCCCTCCCATCCCTTACCATGTCGCAGACCCCCCTCTACTCGCACAGTCGGATGTCGAGCACGGCAATGATCCCGAAAGGGTACGCGATGCATTGTAGAGCACGGCGTGGCATGGCGTAGAAGAGCACCGCAAAGCGTAGTATCAACCTAGCATTGCATTGCACGCCGTGGCATGGCACGGGAGATGACGCCACCGCTGCAGCGGGAGCACGAGTCGAAACGAGCGGAAGCGCGGAAATGAGGCCAGCGCTGCAGCGGGAGCACGATTCGGAACGAGCGGAAGCACGGAAATGAGGCCAACGCTGCAGCGGGAACACGATTCGGAACGAGCGGGGCCCGAAAATGAGGCCGGCGCGTCAGCGAGGGCAGCATTTTGGAAAAAAATACAACCGAAAACCCAACTCCCGGGAAACCTGCGTAGAAAAACGGGACGCGGGGGGGGGGGGGCGAACGCTCCCAGCACGTAATCAGGGGAAGAGGGAGAGTAGTATTCATATTGAGTAATTGTCGAGGGGGAGGGAACGGGGAGGAAAGGGGGAGAAGGAGGAGGAGGAGGAAGAAACGAGGAGGAGGAAAATCCGGGGAAGAAGGAGAGGGCCCGGGAAGAGGAAAGAGAGCGGGGGCGGACGCGGACCGACAAGCCGCCGGCGCCTCGCCCGCGGAGGCCAGGCCACGGTCCCGCGCAGAGCTCGGGGGTCTCAAAAAGTGCCACTGGAACGACGATCGAAAACGGGTCTTACGCGAAAAGGTACAATGCTGAACCTAAACGGTGTTTTTCGTTTTCGTTTTGTGTTCGTTTTCCCTCGTTTCGCCTTTGACTCGTCTTCCCGAATATATCTCGTGTTAAACCTAAGCGGTGTTTCTGGTTTCCGTTTTGTGTTGTTTTTCGTTTGTTTCGTTTTTGTATTCGTTTCCCTCGTTTCGTTGTGTTGCTTTTGTTCGCGAGCGCGCAGGGGTGCCAGGCGCCGTCAGGGAACTGCCGACTTGCACTGGCCTCAATTGCCCACTGAAAGCGCAGGAGCGGGATACACTGCGCCTCGGATGCGGGCGACCCAGAGCACCAGGTCCATGCGCCAAAATTGAGAAGAGCAAGATGACGTCGAACTCGAAGACCACCAGGAGGTCGCAGCGGGCAAAGAGAGAGTGCAAGCGCACGAGAAAACGGATCTTACGCGAGACGGCAGCATCAGCGACCTCACGCGGCGGCTTGCGCGGGCCGCCGGCGCGGCGCGCGACGCTGGAAGCGAGGGCACCTACGGGCGACCTTGCGTGAGCAACTTGCGCGCCTGCGTCGGCGAAGACGACCCCGTTTTTTGGCGTGGACCACCAGCGACTGCCCCGATGCTTCTGCGAAAGGAGCTGCGGGGAAATAGTGCAGATGCGTTCGCTCTGATAGAGGTCCCAACGAGGCCCGAGAAAGGCCCACGAGCACCCCCAAGACAACACCAGGGAAGTAAATGCATTGTCGCCCTTGTTTGTCACATACTTTTGATTTTTTCCACCGCTGCCGCCGCCACCGCCGCCATCATCATTGTCGTCGTCCCTTTTTAGGGTCGGCGGCACTGGCCGCAAGGTGTAAGTCGGGCGTGTCCCCCTACAGGCGGATTTTGGATGAAAATACAACATAGTCAACAAATCCGCCGACACTGTCGGCGTGTGGAATGGGCTGTTCGTCGTGTTGCTTCCTCCCTCGCTGCTCCCGCCCCGGTGCTGTTCGCCATGGCTGTTGTCCCCCTCGCTGCTTCCCTCCCCGTTGTCGTCGCCGTCGCCTTACGGCCGTCGCCGTCTCCCACCTCAAACCGTCGCCGTCTCCCACCTCAAATTGAGCAGCGTCGTAATTGAGTCGAAGGGAAGCCCTTTCCCTTTGATCCCTTCGCAAAAAGGTGGGGGTCCTGGGGAGGGGTGGGGTGGGGATCCCGGGTCAGAATACCATCTCCCTGGGGGGGTCCCGGGACCAACGCAAGCCTCCAGACGAGCCAGGAGTGGCCCAAGAGCCCCTGAACATGGTCCAAGAGGGCCCCGAATCGCCGAACGATCGGTTCAACACGTCAAAGATGGCCTCCACACGGCAAAAGAGGCCTCCAAACCGCCCCAAGAGTCCAAGACTATTCCCAAAGAGCTCGAAAACGGAAAATTCATTGATTTTCCTTTCGGTTTTGAAGGATTCTGGCGTTCTCGCCTTTTAGGCTTCCCGACGCCAGGAGACAGCCCAAGAGGCCTCCAAGAGAGCCCCAACACTTACCAAGAGGGCCTCAAGACAGCCCAAGAGGCCGCGAAGATGGCCGAAGAGGCCACCAAGACGGCTCCAAGAAGGCGCCCCGACGGGGGACCCCAACGAACATTTCGAGCCCTCCGCCCCGAAAGGCTCCCAAGAGGCCCCAAGACGTCCCAAAGAGGCCCGCAAAGGCCCCAAGAGGCACCAAGATGCCCCCAGGAAGCTCCAAAAGGCTCCCAAGAGGCTCTCACGAGGCCCCCAAGATGCTCCCAATATGCCCCCCAAACTGCCCCCCAAAGAGCCCGAGAGTGCTACCACTACTACTACCACTACTGGATCTGCTACTGTTCGTACTACTACTTCCACTACTACTACTACTACTACTACTACTACTACTACTACTACTACTACTGCTACTACTACTACTACTACTACTACTACTACTGCTACTGCTACTACTACTACTACTACTACTACTACTACTACTACTAACTACTACTACCACTACTACTATACTCGATTACCTACTACTAATACATTAACTACTACTACTACCACTATACTACTACTACTACTACTACTACTACCACCACGACTGCTACTACTATTTCTTCCTGTTCTTCCTGCTCGTATTATTTACGGCGCCGGTGGCGGCGGCGGCGCTGGCGGCGGCAACATTCCGATCTCCCCAAGGAGCCCATTCTGAAGTCGAACCCCCCTTCGACCCATGGCGACCACCGCCTCCCAAGCGCGATCCCGAGACGCCTTCGAAGAACGGCCGCCACCCACGCCCCTCCCTCCACCAACCTCTGCTCACAACCAGCCCCCAGGGCGCCATGATCAGGGACGTGTGGGAGCATGGCAGTGGAACAGAAGGAGGGCTGTCGCTGCCCTTGGAAAGAGAAGGAGGAGGAGGAGGAGGAAACAGGGAGGGAGGGAGGGAGGGAAGGAGGGAGGGAGGAGGAGTAGGAGGAAAGGGGAGGAGGAAAGGGGAGGAGGAGGAGGGAGGAGGGAGGGGGGGAGGCGGGAGGAGAGGAGGGAGGGAGGGAGGGGGGGGGGAGGCGGGAGGAGGACGAGGAGGCGATCCTCTCGCAGCCACGCGACCCGGTTGTTGCGAGCGCGCGTGAAGGCCTTGGCCTGCGTCCGCATGGGCATGGCCTGGGCAAGGGGCGCGCCGAGGCGACCGCGCCCCGCCACGACTCGAGCAGAGGATCGCCTACAGGGCGAATTTACCAAGGGCTCCAAACTTCGCGCGAAGAAGGAGGAGGAGGAGGAGGAGGAGGAGGAGGAGGAGGAGGAGGAGGAGGAGGAGGTATGTTGTGTGTCCCAGGGCCCCTCGGAGACTCCGCACGATCCTCGGTGGATCCGGGGGCGGGGGCCACGGGGGGGGGGCCGCCCGGCGGCCCCTGGGGCGAGCAGGCCGGCGGCCCCTGGGGCGAGCAAGGGCTTCCCGCTATGCGAGAGCGCGAAGTGCGAATAACTTCGCGCTCTCGCGCCGCCTCCCACGGGAGAAGAGGAGGACGAAGAGGAATCGGAGCCGAAGCGCGAAGCGCGAATAACTTCGCGCCCTCGAGGGCGTCCTTGATTTACTCGAGGCCAAGCTTACCGCGATGTCGCTTCACGGTGATGTTGGGAACCGCATTGTAGGACATCGCGAGCCACACGTTCCAACAAATCCAGTCTGCAAATGGATCGACAAAAACATGACACAACAAAGTGTAGGGAAACACGCGCCACGCGTTCCCACAAGACCGAAACCTACATCGCCGTTGCTCATGTCGCCATTCGCCCGTCTACGGGCCAAAATTGATTTCTTCATCGAACCTATTCAGAAATACATGTAATGTGGTAAACCTACGAACATTATACGTGGTGCTCGCAGAGTCGAAGAACAATTCAATTCTGGGGCGAATCAACTCTGCGATCGATCCCCCTCAGACAACTCCTGCTGGCCGCGCCCTTGCATTTACTCCGTGCAGCCGTGCATTCCAGATCCTGGCGATGGGATCTGCAAGCTGCAAACATGGATCTTGGACAACGGCGGCGGGCAAATGCATGACTATCGTTCGCCCGCTCGAGCTCCACGGTCTTTGCACGGGCGTTTCGGAGCTTTTGACCGTAAGGCGTCAGGCTTTTGAGCCCCTCCCCCCTCCCCCCCGGTAGCATCTCAGCAAAGATCCATGATGGGGTAACGTTGCAATGTGAAGGGAACTCACCCTGAACTCACCCTTGAACTGATAATTCATAAGGGAACTCACCCTGAACGCTCAAACAACATCAACAACAACAGACACACGGGGGGGTACCGATAGGGTTGCCACAGCTTCCGATTAGACGAAATGTGAGAAGCGACCCTGTGGGCACGTAGAAGAGCAAGTGTGGATAGTGGCAATGGGAGCCACGTGACAACACATGCTTTTCTCTCAGTGATGTGCAAGAGCACAGAATTTGCTTGTGTCCTGAACGGTTTGAAGATAATATGCTGAATCGATACAGAATAGACCATTGAGCCAGAACTTGATGTCTAACAATTATGCCCAAACATATTGTCATCCGGTGTGCTAGTGACGGCGAACAATTCGTTGGACATCCATGGTCTGTTGGACCCTGGCGTCACGATCCAAGTAAAAAGTGCGTCCGACGTTCAAAATGTTGGAGTATCTCCCGAGCGAACTGGCAAGACTCATGATCAACCCACGAAGGCGGAAAGGGAATTAGACTTGCGAGGCCTGGGGACGCTTGCCAGCACCTCAAGTGGGCAACGGGCAGCGGCAATACGCTGAAGATGTCCATGGTGATGCTGCCGTGCAAGGGGCTGGGCTGTGCTCCTCTGCGCTCGCGCCGCGCCGCACACAGTGACCTGCCAGGGGCACGCGCCACGGACCGTGCACGCGGGCGTGCCAGAAGGTGGGGCTCGCCGCGCGACGTACCAGGGGGGGGGCGCGCCACGCAACCTGCCAGGGTGGCGACGCGCCAGGGGACGTGCCAGCGGACGTGCAGCGGGGACGTGCCACGGAGCGTGCCGGGCGGCGCCGCGCGCCGCGCCCAGGGGGAGGCGCCGGGGAACATGCCCGAGGGTCCCGATGCCTGGTAAACTACGCTGCGTCCGCGCTTCCAGGGCCAAGATCATCGTGAATCACGCTGCGCCCGCCCTTCCAGGGCTACGAGGCACTCCGCGGAGGGCGCCGAAAAGAACCCCCCAGAAGACCATACATCTCTGCACTGGGGTCCGCATTCGTGTGGCGCTTTTCGGCCCCCCCGCTGTTTCCTGAAAATTCGGTGCTGGACCCGAAGGCGCGAACCCTCTTAAACTTAAGCTGCGTCCACGCTTCCAAGGCCGCGGCCCCCAGAGAATCGCGCTGGGCTCGCGCTCCCAGGGCCAATATCCCTTGTACATTATACTGGGTTCGCGCTCCCAGGGCCGCGTTCCTTCGTATCGGCGGCGAGCGAGCGGGGGAATTGAGAAGGAAAAGGCCTTCTCAGAAGGCGGCGGGAATTCTCAGAAGCCCTCGCGCCCTCTGAGAATCCCACCAGCCCTCTGGGCGTAGGTGGTCTAGGGAGTTTCCTTTTCCAACCCCCTTTCTTCCCTTTTCGGGTGGGGTTATTCGCTGTTCCTTATTAGTATACACCCCGTCCCACAAGCGACCAGGGGCCAACCACGCACCATGCCGACGCCATGCCGCCCGCCCCCCATCATCCCTGTCCAAAAAAAAAAAAAAAAACAATGCAAACCGCACGCTTGCCTCCACATTTGGAGCATGCGCGGCCAGCCGGATGCGCCCCCCCCCCCCCCCCCCCCCCCCCCCTACCATCCCTGTCAACAAAAAATGCAAAGTACACTGTGGGGCACAATCTTGAGTCCTGTTCGTGAGGCCCGCGAGCACTTTGTATTGTTTTTGGCAAGGGCGGCGGGGGTGTCAGCATATTCCCTGCTGTGCACAGGGCTACCATGCCTGACAAAAACAACACAACATGCCTCTCGCGGCTGACTTTGGCTCATGCGCGGCCATCCCGCGATCACTGTCACGTAGTTTTTGACAGGGACGGCGGAGGTGGTGGCGCGTGACCTGCTGCGCGCGGGCCCACCAGGCACAATGATGGGCATCGGCTTTCGACCAGGATGGCGGGGGGCGGCATGGATCCCGATGTGTGCTGTCACGTGCGCGGGCGCACCTGACGCGCTCTGCACGTGCCCCGAACGCGCCGCACCTGGCGCGGCTGGAGTGTGCGGCATACCTGGCACACTCGGAGCACGTGGCGCATCTGGCGCACCAGGCGTGCCTGGCACGCTCGGGCCCCAGGGGTGCCTGGCGCGCGTGGCGCCCCTGGCACGCGTGGCGCACCTCGCCCAAGCGTCGCGCACCTGGGGTCGGCTTTGGTCCCCAGTAGCTGCCCATCCAAAAGCGACCGCTGAACATGTTCAGGCTCGGATGTTGCTTGTGTGTTTGGAGGGCGGGTGGGAGTGAGCTACACGGCTTGCGGGCGGGGGGGTAGCTTGATCACTGCCCCCTACTAATAAACACCCCCTTCCCCCGGCGACTGGGGGCCAACCAGGGTCCATGCCCCCCCCCCCACCATCCCTTGTAAAAAACCAATGCAAAACACACTCTGCCTCCAAATTCGGAACATGCGCAGCCAACCCGATGCGGCCCCCCCCCCACCATCCCTGTCAAAAAAAAAAAAACAATACAGAGTACACTTGGCGGCGGCGGCGGCGGCGGCTGCGGCGGCGGTGGCGGCGGCTGCGGCGGCTGCGGCGGCGGCGGCGGCGGCGGCGGCGCGGCGGCGGCGGCGGTGGCGGTGGCGGCAGCGGCTGCGGCGGCGGCGGTTTGGCAGCGGGGGGCGGCGGCGGCGGCGGCGGCGGCGGCGGCGGCGGCGGCGGGCGGCTGCGGCGGCGGCGGCGGGCGGCGGCGGCGGGCGGCGGCGGCCGGCAGCGGCGGCGGCGGCGGCGGTGGCGGCGGAGGCGGAGGCGGCGGCGGCGGCGGCGGATTGGCCCCCAGCAGCTGCCCATCCAATGACGACTCCTGAATATGCTCAGGCTCGGGCCAAACTCGGGTGCTACGTATGTGTTGGGAGGGCGGGTGGGAGTGAGCGAGACGGCTTGCAGGCGGGGGGGGTAGCTTGATCCCTGCCCCTTACCCCCCCCCCCTGGACCTGGACGGGTGGTGCCGCGACCTATTGGACCTTCCAAAATGGCCTCGGCGAGGAAGCCAACATCATTGTTTGTGCTATGGTTTCGGCCCCTAGTTTGGCCTCTTCGGGGGGGGGGCGCAGATTGGAGTTCCCTTTTTGTTTTGTCGATGGCCTCCAAAATGGCCCGGAGAGCGCCCGCAAAGATCCCAAAAGCGCCCGGCGAGGGCCCCAAGAGGCGCCCAGACGGCACCAAGAGGCCTCCAAGAGGCTCCCAAAAGACCCCCAAGAGGCCCCAAAAAGGTTACAAGAGGATCCCCGAAGCACCCAAGATGCCACCCAGACGCTCCAAAAAGCCCCCCCAAGGCACCCAAGACGACCGAGAGCCCCCTAGGACCGCCAAGAAATCCCAAGACGTCCCAAGAGGCCACCAATAAGCGCCCAAACGATATCCCAAGAGGCTCCGAGAGGCATCCGAGAGACCTCTGGCCTTTCTGTTTGCCCTCACCCTCCTGCTCCTAGTTCCTTCTGCTCCTTCTCTTCCTCCTCCACCTCCTCCTCCTCTACCTCCTCCTCTTCTTCCTCCTCCTCCTCCTCCTCATCATCATCATCATCCTCTGTTTTTCTCCCCACTCCCTCATCCATCCATCCGGCCTCCTTCCTCTCCTCCTCCCTCCTTCGCACGGATCGGCCGTCCACATCTTTGCTTCCGCACTTCCCTGATCACCTCAACTCGCCTGGACATCGTTTCTGGATGGGCTGGTGGGGATACTTTCTTCATCGCGACCGCACCGAAAACAGTCGGGCGGCGTCCAAGGGCGCAATTAACTAGCGGCGGCCTAAATTACGGCTGGTGGGGATACTTTTTAGTCAGCGGCCGCGGGCGAGCGCGCCGGCAGCGAGTCAGGTCAAAGCAGGCTACGCAGAGACGAATTAAGCAGGCAGCGGGGGCAGGCCACGTCTAACGCAGCTAGCCGAGGCCTCACGCGGCGGCCCAGCTGGGTGACTGAATTGAGTCGAGCTGCCAGCGTGCAAGTATGCAGGGCGTCGGAAGCACCATGAAGCAGGGATAAACGACGACCAGGGTCGGAAGCCGTAGAAGTAAAGCATGAGGCTGGTGGGGATATGCGAAGCGACCAGAAGTGTTTGTTTATGTGTTCGGGGAAGTCGCAGAAAACTTCTCAAAGACGGGGGGACTTCCGAACCTTCTGAGAAGGCCTTCTCCTTCTCACTCCCCCCTTCTCTCGCCGCCGACCTACCCTCGCCGATCAACCATTCATGGAAGCACCACCAGCTGCTGCGCAAACAATAACTTTCGGAGCTCCGCGCGTGTTTCTTGGACCCGCGCTCTCTACCCTGGCGGCGCTTTCGGCGCCGCCTCCGCGCGCCAGGGAGGGGGGTCCAGCGCCGTCCCCCCCTTCGCTCGCCGCCGATCGTAAACGATGTTGGAATCATGCTCCCAGGGCCACGATCCCATGTAAATTGCGCGTCGTCGGCGCTCCTGGGACACGATACCCGTGTGCATTGCACGGCGCCCGGGCTCCGCTCCCCCAAAGACACAATCCCTCGTTCGTGAATTGCGCTGCGCCCGCGCTGCCACGGCCACGATCTCTCTCGAATCGTGCGGCGTCCGCGCTCCCACGGCCACGATCCCTTTCAGATCACGCCGTGTCCGCCCCCCCCCCCCCTTGGCCACGACCTCTGGTAACTTACGATGCGTCCGCGCTTCCAAGGCCAGGATCCCTTGTACATGACGCGGCGGCCGCGCTCCCATGGCCAAGATCCCTGGCAAAGGTGCGACCGCACTCCCAGGAGCACCTGGGCACCCCGGGGGTGCCCAGGCCCTGCAGGTAATGCGAACCAAGCGCTTCGCGGGAGGAGCATGTATAACTCGGCGCGAGGGACGCGCCGTACTCGAGAAGGGCATGCACGAAGTCAACATGCTGTGCATGTTCTGTCCGCAGCATACATCAGAATCTGCGCACATCGATCCGCACCCCCTTCTTTACAAGGGACACGGGGGTCTGCGGACCCTGTTACTTATCGAGGATCCAATATGGGGGTGGGGGGCACGGCACACTGCCCGTTGGCGGGCACGCGCGAAACGCAGTTACCCACACGAAATGAAATGTTGCCTCGGGGGGCAGGTCCTCCCACACTAGAAGAAAACCCTGGGCCTGGGCCCTTTCCCGGGAAAAGCGTGGATGCAGACGATGACATCAATAATCGTTTCTGAACTCTACTCCCTCGGAGAGACGCGTATTCGAATACCAGTGACACGTGCGTGCCCTGGCTCTTACAACAATAATGGAGGGCCACCGATGGGGTTGTCACAGCTTACGATTCGGCAGAGTGTCGAAGACAACAAAGCACGTCGATCTGGTCCAGCCTCCTCCTCCCCCTCCTTCCGCCCCACTTCCTGACCTCCTATGGCCGTTGTCTGACGCCACCTTCACCGCCACCTTCCCACATCTCAACCGCTCTGCTCCTGTCCGCCTGTCCTCTCCCCGGCAGCCATTCCGCACAGCTAACCGAGCGCAGCCTGCCCCCCCACGGTACGACAGGCTGGACTTGTCGCTGTCGTGCGTACGGGACCATGGGCAACCTGCATACGGCCAGACCTCGGACAGAAGAACGTCCTCCACGAAGATGAGACCCTCCACCGGCCAAGGCACACAGAACATCCAAGGGTACCCTCCCCAGGATGCTCAGGAACATCCAACAAACACGAAGAACATGAGGAGACCCTCCCCGAACCGATCTCGATGTTATACCTCGGCCCGACCGTGCTTCAGGCGTCACGCGGCGCTCGCAGCAGCAGTGCGTAGAGGTGCACTCCGCGGTGCAAGTCCCTTCCTCCTCCAGCTCCCCGCGCCGCTCGACCGCCCCATCTAGTCTCCCGCCTTCCGAACGGCCTCGTCGACGCGGTGCGTGTACCACCTGGCGAGGATGGAAGGCAGCTGCTGGATGCGGCTGCTTTGTTTCTGCAAGCTCAGGAGGGGCGCGCTCGCGCGCTCTGTGGGACACATGCACTGGGCATCTCTCTCTCTCATCCTCCGCCTCCTGCTCCCTTCTCTTCCTCATCGTCCTCGTCGGTAGCGTCATCTTCCTCCTCGTCTTCCCTGCTCCTCTCTCCCCCTGCTCCTCCACCACGTCCCCACCGCAACTTGCTCTCTCGTTCTCTCTCTTTCTCTCTCCCTGTCTGTCTCCCTGTCTGTCTCCCTGTCTGTCTCTGTCTCTGTCTCTGTCTCTGTCTCTCTCTATATGTATATATATATATATATATATATATATATATATATATATATATATATATATGTGTATGGATTCTCTCTCTCTCTCTGTCCCTCTTTCCCACCATCCCTTCCGCCCAGACGTGTGACCTGTCTTCCGCCCGCGCGTCCCGAGGGCACGGCGACTCGCCCAGGGGCGCCTCCTGGCCCCGGCCCCCGAAGGCACCGCCCCCGCACGCCGAAGCCGGGCAGAGAGCAGGCGGGAGGAGCCGACCCCCTGCAGCGGCGAGCGCCGCAGAGGTGCGACCCTTTCCTCCGAGGCGGCGCGCCGCGAGAGGCGCGGGGTCCAGGGGCAGCGGAGGAGGAGAGGAGGAGGAGGGGGGAGGAGGAGGAGGAGGAGGAGGAGGAGGAGGAGGGGGAGGGAGGAGGAGGAGGAGGAGGAGGAGGAGGAGGAGGAGGGGGAGGAGGGGGAGGAGGAGGAGGAGGAGGAGGAGGGGGAGGAGGAGGGGGAGGAGGGGGAGGAGGAGGAGGACGATGAGAAGGGAGGGGTGACGGAGGAGGACGAGGAAGACGGGGGGGGGGCATGCCCGAGTCGGCGGCGGAGCGGCACGCGGATCCTGCCACGGAGGCATGCGGTGGAGTCGGCCCGCACCAACAAGGATGCGCGCTGAGGACGCAAGGGCCCTGGAGGGCCGTCTCGGAGCTTTCTCGGGCGGGGCGCGGCCAACGGAAGTGGCCAAGGATGGGTCGAGGAGGCAAGAATGCACAGGTACCCTTGGGAAGGTCGCCCATCCTTACTATGCGGGTTCACTGTCGAGCTCCATGTCTGGCCATGGAACTCCCCATTGGGGAAAGGGGTCCCGAGGGAAGCGAGTCCGGAGGGAGGGTCAGAGGACGACTCAGGATGAGGATATCGTGCTCGGGGAAGGCCCCGGGGCCCAGGACCCGTTTCCCTCAGGACCCGTCTCCCCCATACTCATGAAGCGTGTGCCTGTCGAGATGGGCGGGGACGCCATGCGAGCTCCGCCACTGGGCCCTCGGTGGAGCTCCCCATGGGGCGACGCAGCGCGTGAGGGTGCGCCGAAACGGGAAGGACCATGTGGTGCCACGAAGCGGGTGAGGAGTGTGCCGAAAGGGCGGGGTGACGCCATGCGGCCCCCGGCATCCTGGCATTCGGTAGAGCTCCCCATGGGGCCACGGATCGAGTGAGAGGTGTGCCGAACCGGGTGGGGGGACGCCACGCGGGCCCTGACATGTTGGCCTTGGGTGGAGCTCCCCATTGGACCACGAAAAGTGAGCGGGGGCGTGGCGAAACTCGGGGTGACGCCAGGCGGGCCCTGGCATTCTGGCGTTCGGTAGAACTCCCCCTCGAGCCACGAAGCGTGTGAGACGTGTGCCGAAACGGGCGCAGTGACGCCATGCGGGCCCTCTGGCATTTTGGTCTCTGGTGGAGCCCCCCATCAGGCCGCGGAACGTGTGAAGGGCGTGCCGCAATGGGCGGGGAGATGCCATGCGGGCCCTGAGATTTTGGCCTTCAGTGAAGCTCTCTATATGCCACGGAACGTATCAAAGGTGAGCCGCAATGGGCCGGGAGACGCCGTGCGGGGCCTTCGAGGGAGCTCCCCGTGGGGCCACGAAGCGTGCGAAGGGTGTGCCGACATGGAAGAGGGGGGGGGCAATGTGAGAAAGAGGGAGGAGGGACGCGGGGCGCTGCGGATGCAAAACGAGAACCCAGCACCACAAGATGGTCGGGGAATACGTAGTCCTTGAGAGGGTTTGATATCGACTGATGGCTCGTAGGCCCGCCTGGCTCACCCGAACATGATCGACCCACGAACCTGGAAAGGGATTTACAACTACGAGGCATGGAAACGTTTCCAAACTGGGCAGTGGCAATGCTGAATATATCAACGATGATGAAACTGCTCCGGAGGCTGTGTTGTGCTGCTCTGTGCTGTGCCGCGCCGCACGGTGACATGCCAGGAGACGCGTCACAGAACTTGCCTGTGGACGTGCCAGGGGACGCGACGCACGATCTGCCAGGGGGACGCGCCACGGGACCCGCCCGAAATGATCTGGATCGTAAGCTCGAGCTGCCCGGCGGCCCCACTCGAGTCGGAGGTCGCAGAAGAAACAATAAGCTCGAGCTCAAGACCCGATGCAATTCTCGATTTGCAGCGCATAGCTGATAGGGCTAGGGAGAAGGGAGGATGAGGAGTTACTCCTCCTTCTCCTCCTCCTCCTCCTCCTCCTCCCTCTCCTGCCTATGGTAGTGGTGGTGGAAATGGGCCCATCAATAATTACTGCGTCGCGCAATCTGCGCCGCTCTGTGCTGCGCTCTGTCGTGCTGTGGCTCCATCCACGCCCGACCATGGCCGAACTGATCTGGATCTTAAGCTCAAACTGCCTAAACGCACGCTTCCCCAGAGGCTGGCAGCCGTCGAAACTCGTGGGGCGCTCAACCAGTAGGGGGTCACATGCGAATCCTACCCCTACCCCCCACGATTTCTGAGGGGGAGGGTGGGGTTCACTTCGTTCGGGAGCTCCCGAGCGAAGTGAACCCCACCCTCCCCCTGAGAGATCGTAGTGGGTAGGGGTAGGGTTCGCATGTGGCCCCGGAGCCAGCTCAAGCTCAAGATCCGAGCCGGTTCTGAGATTGGGCGATCCCCAAGAGAGGGGCAATCTATAGGAAGGTACGTAAAACGCGAAGGATTCGAGCTCCAGGAAAGGGGCAATCGAAAATAATGTACGTAACACACCATAGGATTCGAACCCCCGGAGAAGGGGAATCTACACGAATCCGCGTAAAAAGCACAATGGGCTTCGAATCCGAGGAGATGGGCCTCCTGGTGACGGTGGGGCGAAAAGCGCCCCCCCTTCCCCCCCAACCCGAACACACTCGTTTGCGTCGGCGGCTAGGCAGAGGGACTTCGCTGGCGGATAGGGCTTTGGTAGGTCATACAACCCAAACGCACATCCCGATACAGAACAGTACACTGGAGGCCAGTCCGCAAGGAACCCAACCCTGAGACCCCAGGACGTCCATTGATCTTTGGTGTGGGCACGCCACGCTTATCCTGCAACAGAACCATCGGAATCCAAGAAACCCAGGGCACCCTGGAGGCACGCAGGGTGCTTCTTGGCATGGGCCCCCACTGTCCCTCCTGGGGCCTCCTGGGGGCGAGGCGGGGGGTAGCGAAAAGAGCGCTTCCCACACAGACGAATTGCTCCCCTGGGGCTTCCTGGGGACTCCCAGGGGCTGGGCGGAGCGACAGATGCGCTCCTCGAGAACAGATCCCAGGCAGCGCAGTGTCTCCTGTAGCCTCCTGGGGCCTCGCTGGGTTGCCCCAGGATAACCTATGTATATATATATATATATATATATGTAGATATACACACGCATCTGTATGTATGGATGGATGTATGTATGTATGTATGTGTGTATATGGTTGTGCGTTTGTTTGTTTGTATGTATGTATGTATGTATGTGTACATGCATGTATGCATGTATGTATGTATATATGTATGTATGTATGTATGTATGTATGTACGTATGTGTGTATGTGTGTGTGAATGTATGCATACATGTATGTGTGTACGTATGTATGCATGTATGTATGTATGTATGTATGTATGCATGTGTGTATGTACGTACGTATGTATGTATGTATGCATGCATGTATGCGTGTGTATGTATGTGTGTATGTGTGGATGTGTCTATGCATGTATGTATATGCATGTATGTATGTATGTATGTAGGTATGCATGTATGTACGTACGTCCGTACGTACGTACGTACGTATGTATGTATGTGTATGTGTGTTTGTATGGTTGCATGTATGTGTGTACGTGTCTATGTATGTATGCATGTATGGATGCATGTATGTACGTACGTATGCATGTATGTATGTAGGTAGGTATGTATGCATGTATGTGTGTATAAGGAAATATGTATGTATGTATGTATGCATGTCTGTATGTATGTATGTATGCATGTATGTATGTATGTATGTATGTACGTCAAAGCATGTATGTATGAATATGTGTATGTATGTATGTATGTAAGTATATATGTATGTATGTATGTATGTACCTATACGACCGCCCTGCGGGCGATAAGGAGGTTGGGGGGGACTGAGATCACATGCCCACCCTGACTGACCTCCAGCCTGTCACCTTGATCTCACCTCTCTCTTCCTCTCATTGGATTGGATGGGATAATATGGATTGGATAAGATAGGCTGGGTCAGATTGAAATGCGTGTATTGAATAAGATAAGATGGATTGGATTGGACCGCCGCAGGCGCAGAAACAACTGAATTGATGGATTGGGTTCGGTGGATTGGATTGGGTGGGATAAGATAAGATGGAGAAGATGGGTTGGATGAGATAAGATCTATTGGATTGGACAAGATGGATTGGATAAGATAAGCTGGATTGGATAAGAAAGCCCGCCGCAGGTGCCGAAAAACATGAATTCTGAAATTAGCGGCATGCGTTGGCGCCGGGACGCCCGGGACACCCAGGACACCCGGGACACCGCCCGGCCCAACCGGGACACCTCCCGGCCACCGGCGGACGGGAAACGGACTTTCGCTCCTACTTCCTACTGACACCCGGGACACCCGGGACACCGCCTGGCCCAACTGGGACACCTCCCAGCCATCGGCGGACGGGAACGGACTTTCGCTCATACTTCGGCCTAGCTACAGGAGGATCACGCGCAGCTT